AGGAAGGGAGCGGGGGAGGGGGGTACAGGTTGAAACAATAAATAGGTTTAGAAAGGATTAATAAAATCATGAATAATACACCTATATGGGTTATTAAAGGAAAGATAGAAATAAGGGTGGTAGTTACAACATTTAATGTTTGTTTCATAAAGACCATGCCCTCTATGAAAACTCTCTCAGTAGTCTTTTTAAAGATGATCTAGGTTGTACAAGGTGGCTCACACTTGTAATCCCAGCACTTTAGAAGGCCAAGGCAGGAGAAATACTCAAGGCCAGGATTTTGAGACCAGTCTGAGCAACATAGCAAGACCCTGTCTTTATTTAAAAAAAAAAAAGAAAAAGAAAAGAAACACTAGACTAGTTGGTCTATGGGGTCTGAATTAATATGGCACTTATTTCTGATAAGATGAAGAAATAGCAACAAAATAGTCATCTCTCGGTATATGTGGGGGATTGGTTCCAGGACCACAGGGTCCTGGAACCAAAATCTCTAAGATACTTGAGTCCCTATTAAAAAACAGTATAGTATTTGAATGTAACCTACACACATCCTCTCAATTTATTCAGAGACAGAGTCTTGCTGTGTTGCCTAGGCTGTACTTGAGTTCCTGGGCTCAAACAATCCTCCTGAGTAGCAAAGACTAAAGGCATGCACCATGGTGCCTGGCTCCCCCATATACTTTAAATTATCTCTAGATAACTTATAATTCCTAACATAATGTAAATGCTAAGCTAATAGTTGTCACAGTCTATTTTTCACATTTATTATTATTTTCCTGAATATTTTCAATCTGCAGCTGGTTTTACTTGCAAATGTGGAACCCACAGATATAGGAGGCTGACTGCAGCCAAAGAACATGAAAAAAACACGTAGAAGGGGGAAAACAAAAAATAATGCAAAGTTGAGCGCATAGAGAAGGGGAGAGTTTCTTGTACCTGGGGTCCGGAATCTCCCATGGGAAGAGCCAGACTCTTCAGGTAGAGTAGACAGGAAGAGCTGGGTGGGTTCATCCTCTATGTCCTGAATTGCTGCATGAGAAAAGGTGGCCTAAGCACAGTTCCTCCACGGAACTCCAGGGTCCCTGGTCTCCTGTCCTACCCACACCAACCTTTACCCTTCAAAGACCACCAGTCTCATTTTCCAGATCCCACTGGTACCAGAATCCACACAGATGTCCTCACCTTCTAGGTTCTGATTCTCTCTTTCCACAAAGCACTGGGTAGCCTGTAGATACAGATCTTCAGAATCTGGTAGGGAGGAATATAGCATCGATGACAAAAGAAAAAAAATTGTATCTGACCCACAACTCCTTACTTAATCTCTACTATTCTCTCCCTAGCCCTTACTTAGAATCATGGTTTATTTCAGGGGTCAGGAGAAAGAAAAGCCAGCACTTACCATCATAGTTGTCGTCAGAATCACTGGCATCGCCCACATGTTGTTCTCTCTCCCTTCCTGTGGGGGTCTGGGCTCCCTCTTTCTGTGGCTGAATGGGTTCCCCTAGAGTGCCTATGTCTACCACCAGATCTGCAAGGTTCTCCCTTGAGATAGGGAGAAGGTCCTGCTTCACTTGTGCCATAGGTGATTCACCCTGGGCTCCCATCTTGAGAGCTCTCTCCCGCTCAAAAACAGCTGCACCCCACTCTGTCCCAGCATCCCCTTCTGCTGGAAGCTGTTTCTTTCTTACATCTGCCACTTTTGAGGCTGAGGACGTACCCTCCTTCGGATCTGTTTCACAGTCCCCATGTGTAGGAGGTTGGGCTTCCTCTAGAGGCACCATAGGCAGCTTTGCTGGCCCACTCTTTGCTTCTACATCTGTTTGATTTGTCCCCTTCAAAGACACCTGATGTTTCTCCAGATGTACGACAGCTGGCCCTGATGAGACTTCCTCCTCCACTTTTGTGTTGATATCCAGTGTGGCAGAGGCTTGGTAGATCTTGGGTAAGCTCTTATCTGCTTCCACTCTGTTATCATTGTCCCCAGGAGGAGGTTGGTTCTTTCCTGGATATGCTATTACAAGGGCTCCAACCTTGTCTGTGTGACCCTTGGGGACAGTTGCTCTCTTTTCCACTGGGAGCCCTTCCTCTTCCATATCTGTGTCACTGTCTCTCTCGGGGATTTGGCTTTGCTCCAGAAGGACCACAGGTTGGACCCTGTCCGCTTCCACACGTGCACCTCTGTACCATATAATAGGTCGGCTCTCTTTCAGACATGCCAAAGTGAGGGCTGCAGAGACTTCTTCTTCATCATCTGTATCACTGTTGATCACTATGGAGGCTTGACTTTTCTCCAGAGGGATGGCCCATGGGGCCTTGCCCTCCTCCACATCGGTATCACCACCAGCCTGGCTCTCCTGCAAGTATGCCAAACCAGATACTCCAGGACCCTTTGTTCCAATTCCATGGAGGATTCGCCTCTTCTTCATAGGAACTACAGCTGGGGTTGCCGGGATCCCTTCTTCTTCCACATCAGTATCACTGTCGATGAAGTCAAAAGGCTGGGCCCTTTCCAAATGGACCTTCACTGACCTTCCAGGAGGCCTGCTGTCATCATCCACATCTGTGCCACTGTCCTCCCCAGAAGGTTGGCTGCTCTTCAGAATCACCCCAACTGGAGCCACCCCATCCCCTGCATACCTCTTGACTTTTATGTCACTGTCCCTCTTCTTCAGTGAAGGTTGATCCTTTTCAAGCTGGATTCCAGTTGCAACTCCATTAGCTTCAAGTTGCTCTGCCTCTGCAGCGACACTTCTCCTGGTAGCTGAGGTCTCCCTTGTTGCTGGTTGTGGACATTCTTTCTCATTTGTGTCACTGTTGGAGTTGAAGGCAAAAGGTGACCCACGGTCACCCGGGACAGGGCAAGGCCCTTCTTCATCACTGTGAAGGGAAGAGAAGAGAAGAGAAGAGAGTCTCCAGACACAATATACTACTGGTTTTCTGTTTCTAGCAACTAGTTTCTCCACTTGGCACATCAGCTGAGTGAATGAATATGTATAGCTCCCCAGCCCCAACTTGCACAGTGGTTATCTCTCTCAAAGGTTGACTCCCTAGCCCCTGGCTCTTCTTCCTTTTTATTTTTAATTTACTTTTAATTTTTTCTATTTTTTTGAGTCGGAGTCTCACTGTAGCCCAGGCTGGAGTACAGTAGCACATTCACAGTCACCGCAAACTTGACCTGCTAGGTTCAGGTGATCCTTCCGCCTCAGCTGCAACCAGTAGCTGGAACCATGGGTGTGTTAATTATTTTGATTTATTGTAGAAACAAGTTCTCGCCAAGTTCCCCAGGCTGGTCTCAAATGCCTGGGCTCAGGCAACCCTCTCGCCTCCCCCTCCCAAAGTGCTGGGACTACAGGCATGAGTCACCGCTCCTGACTCTCCTTTTTTTTTGAATTGGAGTCTCAATCTGTCACCCAGGCTGGAGTGCAGTGGCATGCTCACGGCTACCTCAGCATCGACCTGCTGGGCTCAGGTGATCCTTCCACCTCAGCCTTCCAAGTAGCTGGAATTACAGGCATGCGCCACCACGCTCAGCAAATTTTTTGATTTACTGTAGAGACGAGGTCTCACCAAGTTGCCCAGTCTGGTCTTGAACCCCTGGTTTCAGGCAATCCTCTCGCCTTGGCCTCCCAAAGTGCTGGGATTACAGGCTTGTGCCACCATGCCCAGCCTCTTCTTCCTTTTTAGAGACTCAAGTGTCTGGCCCTTTGGCACTCACCTCTCTGGAACTATCATTGTCAAAGAGGTGGATGAGGTCCTTGATTTTTTCACCACACGCCTTTCAGAAAGAGAATCTGTCAAGAACAGAAAGGAGTAAGCTAACAGTTTTGTATCCATTATCCCTGTCTTCTCGCCCACCTTCCCAATACACAGACTTACCTACTTCCTCCTCTGAGTCCTCAGCCAACAGATGCTTCTGGGATTGAGTTCCTCCTTGTATCCTGGGTGTCTCCTCTACTGTTAGAGGGCCCCGGGAGACAAAGGGCAGAGGGGCATCCAGGCGATGGTACTGGCAGGGCAAGTCAGCAAAGAGAATCAATTCCTGGTCCCTTAGACGATGACTCACCCCAGGGCTCAGAACCTTGGGAGGCCTCAGGGTTTGAGTACCATTAAGACTCCCACAATCTCGGAGGATAGGTGCCTTATCCCAGGCCGAGATTTCAATCACTGCATGTTGTTTGGAGATGGATGGAAAAGGCAGGGCCACAGAGCAGTCAGGCATCCGGCCTATCACGTTCTTCCCGAGGTACAGTGAGAAATCTAAGAATTAGAGAGGCAGATCGGTTCCAAGGCCAGAGTCCTTGCCTATTATTAGAACAGTGTTTCTGTAAGGTATCCCACTACTTACTCAAGGCCCTCCACAAGCATTAGAAAAAAGGCCCTAGACATCTAGGCATTGAAAAGTATATGCAATACATTAATCATGCAATACTCCATCCATCCACATTGGATTTTTTTTTTTTTTTTTTTTTTAGGGACAGGTCCTTACTCTGTCACCCAAGTGGAGTGCAGTGGTGTGATCTTGGCTAGCTATAATCTCAAATTCCTTGGCTTAAGTGATCCTCCTGTCTCAGCCTCCCAAGTAGCTGGGACTACAGGTATGAGCAACCTTGGCCAGTCTTATTTAACCCTCATTTGCTACTATCAAAGTAAAATAATTCCCAGTGTGGACACTAGCCTGGAACAATCAATTCAATCAGCCAGCTCCCTCTTATGCATTTCTAGCAACAAACATGAACAATAGGTGCAGTGGCTCACACCTACAATCCCAGCATTTTGGAAGGCTGAGGTGAGAGGATTGCCTGAGGACAGGGGTTCAAGACTAGCCTGGGCAACTTGGCGAGACCTTGTCTGTACAATAAATCAAAAAATTAGCCAGGCGCAGTGACACATGCCTGTAGCTTAAGCTTCTCGAAAGGCTGAGGCAGAAGGATTGACTGAGCCCAGCAGGTCGAGGCTGTGGTAGCCATGAGCATGTCACTGCACTCTAGCCTGGGTGACAGAGTGAGACTCTGACTCAAAAATAAAACAAAACAAAATTAAATTAAATTTTAAAAACCTTCAGATCTCCTTAAACGTATATAAGCTTCTTACAACCCTTCAATTTCCTCCCAACAAAAATAAAAGACCTACACCAATACTTCAGCACCCAACACCCCCTGACCTTTTTCTGGTCCATGGACACTACTGAAGACACGCAGCCGCCCTACAGGCTCCAAGCTACACTCCAAGGAGTCTTGGAGTTGCTCTGTCTCCTCCTCTTCTTCAACACCCCAGTCAATAGCCTGGGTGTCCTCCATGATCTGGGGAGGAAACAAGTTATCATTATCCTCGTCACTGGTTCACACAAACAGCGTCAGCGTTATCATACCGATAGCTGGGAGTAAACCTGGGTTGTTATGAAGGTTGATGCATCTCTTTCCACCAATCTTTCTCTTGTTATCCTTCTGAAGCATTTAAAACATACTTTGAGGCCGGGAGCAGTGGATCACGCCTATTATCCCAGCACTTTAAGAGGCCGAGGTGAAGTCGGGCTCGGTGGCTCAGCCTGTAATCCCGCGCCTTTGGGAGGCTAAGGTGAGTGGATTGCCTGAGCCCATGGGTTCGAGACCCACCTGGGCAACTTGGCGAGACCTCATCTCTACAATAAATAAAAACAAAAACAGGCGGGCATGGTAGCACATGCCTGTAATTCCGGCTACTCGGAAGGCTGAGGCAGAAGGATCGCTGGAGTCCAGCAGGACAAGGCTGCAGTGGCCGGGAGCGGCCACTGCACTCCAGTCTGGGCGACAGAGTGAGACTCCAACTCAAAAAAAAAAAAAAAGAGGCTGAGGTGAGAGGATTGCCTGAACCCACGGGTTCAAGACCAGTCTGGACAACTTGGTGAGACCCTATCTCTACAATAAACTAAAAAATTAGTCGGGCATGGTGGCGTGTGCCTACAGTTCCTGCTATTTGGAAAGCTGAGGTGGAAGGATTCCCTCGGCCCAGCAGGTCAAGGCTGTGGTGGCCAGGAGTGTGCCACTGCCCTCTAGCCTAGGTGTCAGAGTGAGACTCCTATTCAATAAAATAAAATAAACAAATAAAACATACTTTGAGGTCCCAAGTACACAAATATGTATAAATATATACAAACACATGCTTGTTCATGTAAACAAGTTTTGAGAAACAATGGTTAGCCTTACTATGTACAAAACACTGGGCCGGGCTCGGTGGCTCAGCTTGTAATCCTGCACTTTGGGAGGCTGAAGTGAGTAGATTGCCTGAGCCCGCGGGTTCAAGACCCACCTGGGCAACTTGGCGAGACTTCATCTCTACAATAAATCAAAAATTAGCCGGGTGTGGTTGTGCACGCCTGTAGTTCTAGCTACTTGGAAGGCTGAGGTGGAAGGATCGCTGGAGCCCAGCAGGTCGAGGCTGCGGTGGCTGGGAGCGGCCACTGCACTCCAGTCTGGGCGACAGAGTGAGACTCCAACTCAAAAACAAAAACAAAACACTGATATTTTTCATTCTACTTTTGTTCTATTTTTTAAATGCTGATTTGCAACCCACTAGATTGATTTCATTATCCAACTGGGTTGCAATCCTCAATTTGCAAAATACCATTTTGCTAACACATGCCAAGCATGTGTTGGGTACAGACTTATGGTCAGACACAGTAGCCACACGAGGCAGGCACTTAGGAAACTAATACCAAAATTATGGAATAACTTGCTCAGGACAACATAGCAGGTAAGTGAATAAATAGGAATAAATGTGCTTCTGGCCACAAAGCCCAAGCTTTTTATTTATCAGATCATTTCAATATGATCAGGCTAAACAGCAAAGAATCATAACAAAGAGGCTTCCTATGTATCAAGAATTGTTCTAATTACTTTATAATGAAAGACTCATTTACTCTTCACAGGAACCCTGTAAAAATAGGGATTATTCTGATCTTCTATTTTTTTCAGATAAAGAAACTGCAACATAGTTGGGTTAAGGAACTTGCCCAAGATCACTCAAATAATGTCTCTCCTCTATCTAATATTTTTACATGGATTTCCATACTCACAGGATAAAGTAAGATCTAGACTCCTTAGCAAGACTCTCCACGATCTGAGCCTCATGCCTTATGATACATGCCCCTTGCCCTCTAAAGCCTATGGTGCAACCACAGATTTTCTCCTCAATCTCTGAGCACACTGTCATCTAACACATCTTCATGCCTTAGACCAGTTCCCCAGTTCCTTGACTCCTCCCTCCTAGTTTTCTGGTCCAATTCCTACCTATCCTTTAAGATTCGGTTCAGGCTCAGCCTGTAATCCCAGCACTTTGGGAGGCCTAGACGTGTGGATTGCCTGAGTCCGCTAGTTTGAGACCAGTCCGGGCAACTTGGTGAGACATCATCTCTACAATAAATAAAAAATTAGCTGGGCGTGGTAGTATGTGCCTGTAGTTTCAGCTAACTTGGAAGGCTGAGGTGGAAGGATTGCTGGAGCCCAGCAGGTCAACACTGGGGTGGCTGTGAGCATTCCACATTGCACTCCAGCCTGTGTGAGGGAGTGAGACTCTGACTCAAAAAAAAATTCAGTTCAAAGGGTTCGTCTCAGGAAAACCCTTCCTGGCATCTTCCTTGCCTTCTCATTTTCCACAGTGGTCAATGGATTTGTGCCTACCCTAACACCTCTCCCCATATTGTAACCATTACTCTTCATTTCTGCCTTCACACCCAACCTCCATCATATTCATTCAGTGGTGATTATGTAACAATGAAATGGCAAAAGAGTAACATAACTTTGGCAAAAGACTAACATAACTAACATAATTTTGGACTGGGGGGGAGGGCTCTGGTCTCTGTTCATGCTTACAGTAGGTTAGAATAATTTTGTCACACTGAGAAGATAATGAAAGAAACAAGAATACAGTTGTTGAGACTAACTCTGGGAAAAGAGGAAGTATGTATACTATGTTAAAAGGTTTAAAGGAACAACGTGACCTCACCAAGGACAAAGAAACTTCACAGTCCTCTCTTTCTCCCCTTGCCCTTAATATTAAAAAGGCTGAAATTTGTAATGACTGGATATGGTCTTTGAGACGTTAGTCCGCCATCTCCTTAGGTTGCTGGCTCTTGAATACACCACTTCCTTTTACTAACTCTTGAGTTTGGCTTTCAAGTGATGAGTAGCCAAAAACCTGAGTTTAGTTACAGTTATGGCGTATCAGGTACTGTTAAAAATATTTGAGACAGCCGGGCTCGGTGGCTCAGCCTGTAATACCGCGCCTTTGGGAGGCTGAGGTGAGTGGACTGCCTGAGCCCACGAGTTCGAGACCCGCCTGGGCAGGCGAGACCTCATCTCTATGATAAATGAAAAAATTAGCTGGATGTGGTAGCGCGTGCCTGTAATTCCGGCTACTCGGAAGACTGAGGTGGAAGGATCACCGGAGCCCAGCGGGTCGAGACCAGTCTGGGTGACAGAGTGAGACTCCAACTCAAAAAAAAAAAAAAATTTGAGATACATCCATGAACCAAACCAAGATGAACCCAGACCTAGTGGAGGCTATATCACCATGCCTAATGTAAACCAAAAATAAAATTTTAAGTTTCCCGGCCAACTGAATGAACCACCTTTGTGCCAAGGGGACCCTTAAAAAGTAAATTCCAGGCTGGGCAAGATGACTCATACCTGTAATTCCAATACTTTGGGAGGCGGAGGCGAGAGGACTATCGAGACCAGCCTAGACAACTTGGCGAGACCTCGTCTCTACAATAAATCAAAAAATTAGCTGGCCGTGGTGGCACACACCTGTAGTTCCAGCTACTTGGAAGGCTGAGGCGGAAGGATTGCCTGAGCCCAGCAGGTGGAGGCTACGGTATCCACGAGCGTGGCACTGCACTCCAACCTGGGCAACAGAGTGAGACTTCAACTCCTATAAAACTGACAAAATGAGCCGGGCTCAGTGGCTCAGCCTGTAATCCCGCGTTTTGGGAGGCTGAGGTGAGTGGATTGCCTGAGCCCGTGGGTTCGAGACCTGCCTGGGCAACTTGGCAAGACCTCATCTCTACAATCAAAAATCAAAAATTAGCCGGGCGTGGTAGCACGCGCCTGTAGTTCCAGCTACTTGGAAGGCTGAGGCAGAAGGATCGCCGGAGTCCAGCAGGTCGAGCCTCCAGTCTGGGCGACAGAGTGAGACTCCAACTCAAAAAAAAAACAAACAAAAAAAACCTGACAAAACACTCTATGACAAGAAAATACCAAATTTCATATTCCTGACTCTGATATAATGTAACATGACAGGTAGTAGGCTCTAGAGAAAATAAAACTTTTTTTTTGGAGTCTCACTCTTATCCAGGCTGGAGTGCAGTAGTACGCTCATGGCCACTGTATCCTTGACCTGCTAGGTTCAGGTAATCCTTCCACCTCAGCCTTCCAAGTAGCTGGAACCACAGGCCCGCACCACCATGCCCGGATAATTTTTTGATTTATTGTAGAGATGTGGTCTTGCCAAGTTGCTGCAAAATGTTTTACCCCCAAATGTTTCTTTGTCATACTTTGAAGTGACCCCACAAAGCTGTTTCTTGGGAAAATTTACATCTGTAGAAAACACCCAGGCCAGGCTCAGTGGCTCAGCCTGTAATCCCAGCTCTTTGGGAGGCCGAGGAGAGTGGATTGCCTGAGCCCGCGGGTTCAGAACCAGCCCGGGCAACTTGACAAGACCTTGTCTCTACAATAAATTAAAAAATTATTGTAATGTAACTGTGTGTGAAGTTTTTTCTTCTGTTAGCAAAGCTAATGCACTAAAGCTATCACTTTACTTTTTGTATGTGCACAAAAAACGTGAAATCAAAAATAAGCAAAATCAACTTGGAATGACAGGCATTGATCTAAATAAATGCTTCCTAGAGTGCTATGTTAGTGAGAAAAAAATAAAATTAGCTGGGTGTGGTAGCGTGCACCTGTAGTTCCAGCTACTTGGAAGTCTGAAGCAGAAGGATCACCGGACCCCAGTAAGTTGACGCTGGGGTGGCTGTGAGTGTGCTACTACACTCCAGCCTGGGCGACAGAGTGAGACTCCCAACTCAAAAAAATAAAATAAATAAAAATAATAAAACACCTATATAGTATCACTTCTCTCTGAGGTCTGCTCCTTAGAAGCTTCATCTACATAATAAGAACTTTGGATTCCACAATCCCACTAATCTTTTTTTTCTGTTTTGTTTTTTGAGTTGGAGTCTCACTCTGTCGTGCAGGCTGGAGGACAGTGGCACGCTAATGGCCACCGCAGCCTTGACCTGCTGGGCTCAGGTGATCCTTTCTGCCTCAGCTTTCCAAGTGGTTGGAACTACAAGCATGTGCCACCACGCCTAGCTCATTTTTTGATTTATTGTAGAGATGAGGTCTCACCAAGTTGCCCAGGCTGGTCTCG